TGATCAACCGAACCGATTTGGTTATTAGTTTTTTTGGTTTTTTGTTTTTTTTGGTTATTTTGGTTTTTTGATAATCTGGGTTTTGGTTATTTCGGTTGAATTAGTGTTTTAAATACTTTGGATATTTTGTTTTTTTTGGTTTTTAGTTCTTCGGTTATTTTGGTTATTATGGTTTTTGGGTTTTGGGTTTTTCGATTATTTTGACTTATTGGATTTTTTGGTTTTTTGCTTATTTCGGTTAATTTCGTTTTTTGGTTAATTTGGTTTCTTGGATTTATTATATTTTTTCGTTTTTTTGTTTTCTTTTCGATATTTTGGTTTTCGATATTTTGTTTTTTTATTTTTTTATTCTTTCATTTTTTTTTACATCCTGAAGGATAAGTTTATGTTTTCGTCAAAAAATCAGGTTCCCTAATTTTATGTTTTCTCGACGTTTCGAGCCATTCTGAATCGAATGAGACCAAATTTGGGAAAGTATGAGTGTGTGTTGTATGTGAAGAGATTTTTGACTTTTGGCCCTGAAATAGATGACTCCACTTAAGTTGAAAAAAAAACATCCCATGTAATTTGTGACAAAATTGGAAAATGTTTGTGTATAAAAGAATATTTGAATTTATCTTAAGAACAACAGCTTTCATTTCAACAATTTAAAATCATTCTATAAAACACAATAACTTGGGTAGAGTAGTTTTGTTTGAAGATCAAACAATACGTTCCATGAAATAAGAAGAAATATGCATTTCCTTTTGCTAAAACTTCTGAGCAGATTTTGAATTTTTTTTATTGTGGTATTGTTTTTTGTTTTTCTGTGATATACGTTCAAATTTTTCATTACACTGAGTTTTTTCCCCAACCCTGTGCTAAAGTATGCCATAGGTTTACTCCGACCGAAGGCTCATGGAGCCTTTGGGAAACACAACGTTGCTGCGCGCCATCACATGGGCGAAGATAAACGATGAAAAATGGTTATAATAATAATAATAAATATCCCTATAGTTCTGAACGGACTTCTGAATATTTTAAAATGACTCTGTGATTTATTAGATCCTATCGCAACTTCATAAGGAGGTGTCTATTGAAAAATATGCTAACGCAAACTTATAAACAGTATGATAAATTCAGATTCGCGATGACTGTGTAGTCGGAGGAAGGAAACAAAGTTGGTGAAAAGTTGCATTTAAATGTTTTCAAATGAAAATATTTTTCATATTGCAGATAAATGCATATTTATATTTTTATAGAGGGTAAGGCGGGGCTTAAAGACAACAGGTGGTAAACAAGTAAAGTTAAGTATTTTCTAACAACGATATTTAAAAGTAGAGGGGAAAATATGTATAACCAGCATAACCATAAATCACCTTGATTTTTACGACATCATTGTCGGGAGATAAACAAAATAAAAAGTATTTTTCAACGTTGTTAGTGTTCTAGTTGTGAGCACTGTTGTTTAGTTAACTTCTATATAATTAACTTCCCGAAGGAGAAGTTTATGTTTTCATCAAACAATCCGATTTGCTAATTTTATGTTTTCTCGACGTTTCAAGCCATTCTGAATCGAATGAGCCCAAATTTGGAAAAAGTATGTGTGTGTGTATGTAAACAGATTTTTTGCCGTAAATCGACGTTTTCTCAAAAACGGTTCGACCGATTTGAAAATTTTAAAAGCTATTTGATGTATCTCGATGAGAGCTAGCGTTTCTGAGTTTTGTGCGACGATCGTCCAAGCCGTTTCTTTATGAATAGCATTAAGTGAATAATTTTTCGTCCACGTTTTAGCCCGCAATTCTGATTCGATTCTGAAAATTCAAAAACCGTTCGATAGATATTGGTTGGGAATCGTGCTGAATAGTTTTTATAGAGCTCGGCGGGGCCGTTTTCTTGCAATAAAGTTTTAAAAAAAAACAATTGACGATTTTTATGATTTTTTTTAACGTTAGATATCATAGTCTTCTAGATCATACTAAAATATTACCGCCCTGCGACAACTCTAGCTTAAAAAATTTGTCAAAGTTTGCAAAAATTGGTATCGTTTTTTGGCATTTGTCAAAATTAGACTTTTTATCGACGTTTGCTCAAATACGCCTGAACCGATTTCAGAAATTTAAAAGCCATTCGATGTATCTCTATGAGCACTATAGTTTTTCAGTTTTGTGAGACGATCTGCCGAGCTGTTTTTTTGTAATTTGCAAAAAAGTGTTAAACTTTTCGTCCACTTTTAAGCTCATTCTACCGAATCGATTTTAAAAAAATCGAAAACTGTTCGAAAGATTTAGTTAGTTAGTTTTAGGTGAAAATCTACCGAGCCGTTTTCTTATAATTAACTGTTGAAAAAAGAAATTTAAGCCGATTTTTATGAAACATTTTTAGGCGATGTATATCATGGGCTTATAGAACTTACTGAAATTTTACGGCCTTACGACAAGTAGTTCAATCTTAAAAATTCATCAAAGTTTGAGAAAATTAATAGTTTTGTTGACGTTTGTTAAAATTAAAATTAGACGATTTACTTGGTATAACAACAGAGTACTTGATCTTAATGAACATACTAAACCAATAAAGTCCTACGGAAACTGGTTCAACTACAAAAATTGATGATTTTTGAAAATTTGCTTTTAGAAAATACTCCGAGTTAACGTGATCGTTCGTGTTCAATTATGTGTAATAAATCCTCTCGGAATACTTCTAATCACTCATAAATTAATTTGTTTATTATTGATTAAGTCGATTATTTACACATATCTGGAAGTTCATGTAACTTGCCTCAAGAATAAATACCAATACCAACTAGTTTGACATTTTATGAGATGTATTGTTAATTCTATGTTAGAATCAACAGTTTTTTTTAAAATAACCTCTATAACTGCTTACGTGTGTGAAGGGCGTATAAAACAGCATATTCCAAATGGGACTTTAGGAGCTATATGTAATAGCTTTACCAACAGAATAAAAATTTGTTCCGCTGAAAATTAATCTAAATCAATATTAGTACCATTGTAGATCACCAATATATATATATATATATATATATATATATATATCCATATATATCTATCCCAGTACATTTTGCCGTCGCCCGAGTGCGGCAGCGGCAGCGGCAGTCTCTATGGTGATACCGGCGGTACAACATGCGACTATTATTTACTGCCAAGGGACACACTCGAATGTGCGCGGACTTGGAGCAGAAATTGTTATATACGGTTATTTAGAAATCGATCCATTCTTATGACTGTGCATTCCTTTTCTTTATTGAATAGAACAGGCGAGGGAAGTGGGAAGTAGTTTTGATTCATTTAGGCAAGCCCCGGTATCGATATATCAGACATGGTAATCGAAATATCTATAAGATGTGGGAGAGTTATTTAGTTCATTACACATAAAAACCAGTGGGGCGCATATCATCGTGCCTTGAGGCAAATTGCTGGAATTTTCTGTACCGTAATTAAACATTCAAAAAATAAAAATAATCGGTCAACAAAAATGTCTATGAACAAATATTATAAAAACTAGAATTTGCATTATTTGTTCCTTGTGGACAAAATGTGAAAGCTTATGAGATTAGACGACGTTGTTTATATATGTTTGAATAAAATATATATAAACAAAATTTAATTAAACGGACTTATTGTTAAAATGAACATATTTTATTTCAAATGCATCAATTTCTCGTTCGCGAAATATATGCACTGAGTTAATCATTTTAAATTTTTAGTTTATCAGCTATACAAATACAAAAAGTATTAAAATTTTATTTAAAAAATACTACAGACATGGGATTCAAACCCGATCAGTCTTGACTTTCTTCTCTAGTAACGCAAACGAAAATTGCAGTGACGTGCCAACCAACTCAGCTATAACCACATGCTCACGCACAACGTTATGATTTAATCGGAATTTCTACACTTTTTGCTTTGTATCTTGAAAACGAGTGGACCTGCCTATACGAAAAACTGATCAGTACGTCTCCACATCAATACGAATCGTAAGGATGTATAAAAATTTTTATTTTTGATTTTATTGCGATTACTGTAACCTACCCTGCGGGAAGTTAAATATGTTTAGATCGAATTTCCGTAAAAAATATTTATTTTAAATTTTATATCAGAATTTTTTTACATTTTATAATGAATTCGAGTAAATTGCTCAAACGATCTTAATATACATTTTAATTTTTCAAGTTCCCGAATGAAAAAGTTAATGTTTTTGCCACAAAATTGTATGAAGTCTATACAACTTGTCTTAAGGCAAAATGACACTTACAACTAGTCACATATTCATTTATTACTTTCCTAAAATTTCAACATAGTCTTCTGAAAATTGCTGCACTGTATTTTCAAGATTCAATAAAATTTCAATATAAACTTTATATAAAAACTAAAAAATAATTTTTTTTATATAATAAATAATGGTATGCTTTTGCACTTTTTTACTATTTCTATCAAAAATGTAGTTTTCTCAAATCGTAGTTCATGAAATTTTAAAGCAATTTTACCTAATACACATTTACTGCCTAATTATGCTTATTAAATAATACATCAGATTAAAGTTATATTTTGAAACTTGATAATTATGCTTTATACACACAAATACATTAGTTGCATCTTTGACTCTTTCGCAAATAACGTGACAATTTTTTTTTTTTTTTTGAATTGCGTAAAGAAGATTTTGACCAAAATTTAATTCAAGTATATTTATTGTAAAATTAATACATTCAAATAACTGAATATGAAATAAATTTTCTATTCAAAGTTCAAATCTTCTGATTCTGATAAATTCAAAATAATAAACTAGAACAATACTTGACAAGTTGATCGATCATCATAATTTCATATTTAAGTATGACAGTGTTATAATGCAATAAAATTTACTTTATTCATTGATGCTTTTATTATATTTATTCAAATGTTTAAAATCACATACCATTAGTATTTGCAAAAAATATGAAATAATTGTTACATTCAGTTCCAGCCAATTTAATTAGAGATATAGTCCACAAGTTTCCTTCACTTTCCAGGATTGAATCCTCCTTGATTTAAATAATCATCGTCGTATCCTGATCCAACTAGTTCTCCGTTGGCACAGGCATCTCCTCCTAAATTTAGACAATTCCTTTTTCTAAAAAGTGCATATTGGTATGGATTTAATGCCAAAAATTGCTGTTGATTTAGGAATTTTTGCCTGGCTCTGAATTGTGATATTTTGTTATGGAATGAACGTTTTCCTGGATTGTTGCCTTGATTTAGGTAGTCGTCATCTAATCCTAGAGTAGATAGTAAAAATAATAGATGTAGATGATAAAAAATATGGAAAATTGTTGTCTCCAATATTATTTTTAACTAATGACAAAAATTAATTTTTACCTGATCCTGGTAAAGATCCATTGGAACAATTGTCGTCTCCAATATTAAGACATCTCCTGGACGTTCGTTTTCCTGGATTTGGGCCTTGTGTTAGATAATTAAAGTCCAAACCAGAACCCATAAGATATTGGTATGGGTTATTTCTGTGAAAAGTTGGTCTAAAATTCCAAGATCTTTTTCCAGGATTTGATCCACCATTCAGGTAATCGTCATCGATACCTAAGGAATGAAATATGGAGAGTAAAAATTAATTTTTAGACAACAATTTATTTAATAAAAATAATATGGTCGGTCTTTGAAAGTGAAGTGAATTATTATAATAAATAAATTGATCTTCTACCTGATCCTGGTAAATCTCCAGTGGAACAACTATCACCTCCCAAATTCAAACATCTCTCATCCATCCCAATAGATCTTTTACCAGGATTATGTCCTTCTGTCAGGAAGTCATTATCATTTCCTGATCCAATGATGTCTTCTTCCAAAAGCCGAAATCTAGCAGCAATTTCCGCATTTTTTGCATCAATTACTTCCACATCATCAGATGGACTTCTAGTAGGTTTTGTAGAAACTTGCAAAACTATCGATGACACTGCCAGTAACAACAATATTGTTTTCATCATTTTCAAAAGCTGAATTTACGTTCAATTCTGAATTATATTCGAATCTGTTTGACAATGGTTGGAAATCTGATATTTATATAGTGAACCCCGGCACGGTTTGGATTTTTATCAATTGTAATTGAATAAATATATGATTAATCCGCATATGTCCAATTTTAATTAACTCGTGGATATTAACAACGATAATGTTACAAAAAGCTCATAATACAATATTGGTCTATGATTGCTTATATAGTTATAGGGTGGTACAAAATATCAGGTAAATGATGTATATAAATTTTCTAGAATTTAAACGTAATTCACTGTTTAAAAGGAAATCCACTGTATAAGTCAGATTATTACCGAAGATAACAATTATTTATTTATAATATGAATGTAATTATTCTAGTCGTTATCCAAAATTACAAAACCATACTTTTAGACTCTTTAAGCTTTGTTCACTCTTGTATTCTTCAAGTAACTTTTACATATTTCTAGATAATTTTTAAAACTATTTATTAAGAGTCCACTCCTGCGTGTTACTATGAGTAATATATGTTACTCTAGTACTTGAAATTAAATTAATTTTAAAATATTTTTTTATTGAAATTTTATCACAACATAAAAATAGTTCTCCAATGAATTGTCTGATATAAATGTCGATTGCCATCATAATTGTCTGGCAAACCGACTAGCTATGAAAATTATAACGTCATGAAAGAATTGCAAGTGATGTATAATTTTCATTCAATTTCCTCAAATTGTATGTTTTTTTCTATAAACGCCCTGTGCCGATGATAAAATATGATCATCGCACGCAACAATTGCTGTCGCAATAAATCGCCATGCTCATAGTTTTCATTAAATTTAATTAAGCCTCGAACCATGCGATGCTTTTTTGTCAAAGAGCCTGTCACGGGGAAATTTTTTTAAAAAAATTGTATGAAATTTTAAAAGACACTTGTCTAATATATATACCTTATCCAGGGGTCAATTCTACGATAATATAATATTGTGGTAACGCTAACGGTTCTATATTTGTATTAGTTGACAGTAAAAACTATCAAAACGCTGTTTATTTGCTGTGCGATCAGGCGTTTAACACATAGAACCTAACTTCACGTATGTGTTATCAAAGAGGCATCAGAAAGTTGCACTTATGATAAAATTGTTATTTACGTTTATGCGTTTTGTATGTTAAGTTTTAGTGTGAAATGCCTAAAAGCTCCGCAAATGCAAAACGTTTTGACAGTTTGTTACCACCAACTCATACGAACATAGACCCGCTTTATCGCATTATCATTACATTTCCATTTAATTTAGGAATTGGCACTTAAGTTCATTATATTTTTTATAATATAACATAATAGTTTAAAACAAAAAATGATAATTATTTAGGATAAATAATTATAATAAAAATTAAACTTATCAAAAAATAGTCTGTCCTCCAACGTGTGGATTAAATTTTATTATTTTGCCTATAAAAATATTAAAAAAAATATTTCATTTATTTTCACAACTATTTTAATTCCATTATAAAAACGTGAAATCGTTCGTAATTTTTCAATTTACCCGGCTATATCGAATTAAAATATTGAATTGGAATATTATCGGTCGTTAGCTCTTGGACTAATTACATTCCGTTGTTCGAATGAACGCTCGAGATTAATCAATTTTATTTATTTAATAATTATTCGCTTTGGTCGCTACTCACTCATACAAATAGAAATTAAATAGGGGAAACTAGAGTGATAGTGAAATATTTTGTTTTCTTGTATTGAATTTTGTCATAGTTAAGATAGACTTTTTTATCTGTTTAAATTTCACCCAAAAAGGACGAAAAATACATGTTGCATAAAATAAAACTAATTGCTGGTAATTAACTACTAATGTTTAACTCACAGCAAAATAACAAACAACTTATACAAGTAACTTTAAGTAAATTATTAGAAGAAATCAAAATCTATAAAACTTATTTGTAGCTCTTTAAAAGTAATGCGGTCTACAGATCGTGTTAATGTAGGACGCTGACTCAATGCAATGATGGAAACTTGTTTGTACAAACATACGTACTCGTACTTCATTTTTTATTCCCAGTCTCTCCTATTTATGCGGTTTTTAATCAGAACATCCTGAGTTTACATATGTTTTACTTTGCCTTTGATATCAAGCAGTAGTGACATCAGTTTTCATTCTTTAAAAGAAATGCGGTCTACAGATCACGTTAATGTAGGATGCTGGCTCAATGTTTTAATGGAAACTTGTTCGAACAAACATACTTTATCTTTCTTATTTGGATCCAATCTCAAAATCTGTACCCTGGAACAACTGCACCCAGTCCCTTCTACTCCCTTCCCTTCGTCTCCTTCTAAATTTGAGTTTCGGTTAGCCCGATATCAAGCAGTATTTACATCAGTTTTCACATATAATATATCGAAATTCAGACATGATTTTTTTTTAATTATTGGACTTTCAAATATCAAATCGAAACCAGATATGATTTATTAACGCATAAAATTATACAAACTATTTCCTATATATAGAAAAGCAGATTTTTTCTTTTATATAGTAAACATTTTATATCCTAACCTAATTGTTCTTGCATTAAATCAGTTAGGAATTGGAACAACAAAAATACTAGCATTTTTTAAAATAATTGCTGATTTGCTAATGTTTTAATTATATATTTTCCATTGTGCATAAAACACATATTGTTCTACAAAATTTTCGATAAAAATTACAAGTAATATTATAATTATTATTAAAAGTTGGTGTTTATATTTACGTGTATTTTGTTTCAAATATTAAAAAAGCAGACTATCATAAATTTATTTTTCGATAAGCTCAAAGTGAAAATTGTAAAAAATAGGATTAGCAAATAATATATTCATATCAACTTGCAGGTTGAAAAAAATTGTTGTATTTTACGTCAATATATTTTTTTCGTATTGAATTTTACATAAATAAGTTTTATATAAGATAATCAATAGTTACATACTTTATGATGTTGCAATAACTAATTAAACCAAAGGTACTACACGTCACTGGTCACATTTACTGGGCGATCATATTATTCTGTTGTACCCTAAAATATAAATTCATTTATATACACGTATATATATATATATATATATATATATACATTTGTGTATTATATGTCCGTTTTTTATCGCGGTAGGCCATACGCCGCTCGAATATTGATTGCTATTTTACATACGCAATCTACCTACAATACAATAGAAGAACAGGGGTACATAGTATTAAATTTGTATTAGTATTTATTTCCATACAAACAGATTTTTTTCCATTTTGATTATTGATTCGAGCCGTTTGTTTATTATGCGTATTTATTATTTAATCAAAATTGTTTAATACCGTTGTCAATGACAGTCGACGGTTCAATGGAATTATTCAATTAAAATAATCTTCATGTGTTATGAAACAAGGAGAAACGATTTGACAACCGTCATCGTTTGTTTTCATTTTTTTATATAACAATGGAAAAAGATTTAAAAAAAATAAAATTCGAATTTGAAAGCTGAAACATCGAAACCAGGCTCAATTATTTTAGTGATGGTATTTCTAATTTTTCCTTGATTGGTCATTTTTACAATATGATAAAAGAAACTAGTAGTAGTACATTTATAAATGTCTAGAGTTACACACAAATGTAAGTTTATCATCATTAAATATTTTAATAGAAATCTTTAATATGAATACCTGTGAATACCTGTTACCACGCAGGTACCTTCGTCCATTATATTACCTCATAAAGTTGCGTTAAATATTCTCAGCTAGTGCACGCAGTTTATTACGGTTAATTTAATAGATCCAGTGCTGAATTCATTATTATTTCCATCAACCAACCCTTCTTCTTCATTCCAAAGTTTACAGTCTGAGAGAAAACTAGGCCGACTTGCTTTATATTTCATACATCGTTCATTAAAGAAAGGACAAATTCGAGTAATGTTCATATTTTAATTAAAATAAAAAGACTTGCTTTTTTTTAAGATAAGATAATATTAGGAAATGCATTTTTATCCGGAGAATAAGTTTATGTTTTTGCCGGAAGCGAATCGAACCAAATTCAGAAGGCACTTCTAGTCAATGATAATTTTATAACATTTAAATAATATACATTTATAAAAACCTTGACCGATCAGTTGCGTCCCCTTGTTACTTGCTTACAAAATATTGTCAGCACAGTTGCCAAAAAGTTTCTGTGTTTTGAAATCACGACCCGGGTGCCAAAGTAACCGGGCCGTTGTCGCATGTTTCAGGTGTCGAAGTAATCATTTAATAATTGCCTTTTTTTATTTTTTCAGGTTGTGATTTCTTGTAAACACATCAAAGATTGTGTTGACCCATGGATGACTTAGATACATCCAAACATTATGAGGGGTAAGTGCTATACATTTTTTATAGTTATTTGCAATTTTGTATAAAATGAGAAAGTGTAGATTTTTGTGTCCAGTATCTTGATTACATCCTGTCGTTCGTTAATTTGATTTGAATTTTCATTTAAATCTATTTTGACATTAAACAATATCCTTAATCTTAGCTGCTTAGCAAAGCATGGCTATGGTTTTCTCCCAGACGAAGAGAACTCTCCTAGCGTTTAATCATTAAATATTAGAAGCGGTTAGAAGCATAACTAGAAGCACTAGCAGAACCGAAAGCATAGCCTTGTGTTTAGGAATTTACTTTACTTACATTTGTGTTCCATTCCATTCATAATCAGCTTGCGAAAACTTGTAGATCGTATATAGATGCGTGCATTCGGCATAGTAGGAGAGACTGGATACATTTGTGCGTCTAATTTACTAGTTAGCTAAGAGAAAAGTAAACGAAATGGTAATTTGAACTATGTCTCCCTTGTACTTTACCTCAAAATCAGTATAGTATACCACAATGTGTTTATTCCGGTACAACATGAGAAGAAATTGGATTTGAAATTAAGATTCATTCCTATGGCATTGGCTTTTGGTAT